AGGAAATTCATTGCATTCACAAGAGGCTCTGGGTCTGTCCATATCAGCAGATAGACATTCACCATCTGCTCATGGGTCTCCAGTTACCTCCTTGTCACCTGAAGAGGCTTCAGGCACTTGTTTGGACCAAGGGCATTCAGGACAGTCATTATTATTATCTGATCTATTAGATCTTGAACTATCTGAATATTCACAGGGACCACTAGAAAGACCACCATCTACCCATCACACTCTAGAAATACCATCTTCTACCCATGGGATTTTAGAAACTTCACCTGCCCAAGATTCTCTTGGACATCTGCCTCCTTCAGTACAGATTCTACAACAGGCTCCCCTTATGCCAGAGACATCAGAACCTTTGTCATCTACCAAAGAGGCCTGTAATATATCAGACTCTTCCCCAGGAACTTCAGAGATGTTTTCAGCCCCCCAGGATCTCTGGAAATTTCATTCTCTGCCCAAAGTACTATGGGGCCATCTGTATCTGAAATAGAAATTATAGGATCATCAGTATCTCTGGAGGAATCCCTGGGACCTTCTCCTCCTCAGCAAGGGTCTCTGAGAAGCATTCCACCTACATCTGCGACTAGGTCACTCTCCCCCTCAGAACAAGGTTGCCAGAAAATATCTTCATTTGTACAAGGACATTCACCATCTCAGCAATGCTATACAGGAAATTCATTGCATTCACAAGAGGCTCTGGGTCTGTCGATATCAGCACAGGAATCACTTGAATATTCACCATCTGCTCAAGCGTGTCCAGATACTTCTTTGTCATCCCAAGAAGCTTCAGGCCCTTCTTTGGACTTTGTGTCTTTATGACAGTCATCATCTGATCCAGGAATGCTTGGACTTTCTGACTCTGATGATGGGACACTAGAAACTCCACTATTTACCCAAAGCATTCTAGAAATACAGTCTTCTAGCAATGGTGTTACGGAAACTTCAACAACTTCCCAAGATTCTTTAGAATATCTGCCTCCTTCAGGGCAGAATATGCAACCTTCTCTTATACCAGAGACCTCAGAACCTTTGCCAACAGCCAAAGAGGTTTGTAAGACTTCAGATTCCGTAGTAGGTGCTCTGGAATCTTTAAAATATTTTTTGGGGCTCTGAGATATTTGAATTCTGAACAATGTACTCTGGACCCTTCAGTATATGACCAAGGGAATCTGGAGCCATCAACACCTCTCAACGATGCTCTTGGAAACCCCAAAACATCCCAAAGTGTTCTAGAACCTATACCATCTACCCAAAAAGGTGTAGGAACTTTCTTTTCAGCGAAGATTTTGGGACTGTCCACTTGTGCACATGATGACTTTATTCCTATTCATTCTCATGGTGACTGCCTGAGATATTCCACTTATCCCAATAAAAGCCATAGACATTACAATTCTAGCAAAAAAAATAGCGAGTCATGCTCCATTTCCTGAAGCAGATGTCAGATATTCATTTTCAAAACTTGATGCCTTAAGATCATTCCCTTCTGCCAAAAATAGACTCACATCTTCCATATATGACAGAAAGGACTCAAGTTCTACCTCTAATCCTCCAAGGAGTGTCTCACACTCAGCATCATCAGAATTGACCTTCAGATCTAGTTACCCTCCTAAAGAAGATCTCAGATGTTCTCCCTCTCTACCAGGTAGCTCCAGACATTCAAAATCAAAGAAAACAAAATTGAAACATGCTCCTAAAGAATCATGCCTCAAATCTGTCCCATCAGAAGATGAAGGCCTGAAATTTCACCATTCTCCCACAAGGGTGGGTAGAGATTTGGTTTCTAACAAAGTTGGTGCAAGGCTTAAAACTGAGCCCAAAGACAGCCTCACTACTACTTCTGCAAAGTGAGGTTGTAGATCCTCACAATCTCATGAGGTGGGCCTCAGATGTTCTCCATCTCCACAAGGCAGCCCTAGATGTTCCAGATGTACCAAAATCAAATTGGAACAGGCCCCCTCTAACAAAGCAGATGTTCATGTTTCCCATTCAGAAAACCAGGGCTGCAAACTACACTCTTTGTCCAAAATAGAGTCTAAGCATTCATCCTCTAAAAGGGACCAGAAACCAAAAGCTACTCATCAAGAGTGCATAGAACCTTCCATCACTAAGGGAGGCTTCAGATCCTCACGATTTCATGAGAAGGGTGGAAGAAGTTCTGCACCTCCCCAAGCCAGCCATAAATGTTCCAGGTCTATTAAAACTAAATTGGAACAGGCCCCCTCTAACAAAGCAGAGGTTCATGCTTCCCATACAGAACATGAGGACTGTAAGCATCTGTCTTTGTCGCAAAGAGGATTTAGTCATGCTTCATCTGCCAAAAGGGACAAGAAACCTGACACTACTCCCCAACAGAGCATAGAAGGTTCCACTTCTACAGAAGAGGATATAGCAACTTCTCCCTCTCATGAAGAGACCCTCAGACATTCTACCTCTCCTCATGGGACTTCCAGCCTTACTTCTACTTCTCCCAGAACAAGACTCAGGCATTTCCCTTATACTCAAGAAGTCATCAAAACTTCCACTGAAGCCCAAGAAAGCTTCAGGTCATCTCCAGATGGAGACAGTCCCAGAGGGAGTGTCAAATCTTCCTCTTTGTCCCAAAGCAATGATGTCAGACATCCTGTTTCTACAAAGGAGAACGTTAAACACACTCTTTCCATTCAAGAGGGACACAAACCTTCCACTGGTGCCAGAGAGGGGAGTAGGACTTGGATTCCTGTACCATGGGGACTCATGTATCCACCAATTCCAAAAGGGAGTGGTGCATCATTCCCTGTTGTCCAAGGAAATTTCAGATATACCCGACCTCAACTAGCGGACCTAAGATCTTCCCTCTCTTACCAAGGCAAAGACACAGCCTTCCAATATGAACATGGGACCCCCATATGTGACCCTTCTGTCCTAGGAGGGCACAGATATTCACATTCAGTCTCATGCAGTCTCCGAAGGATCCCGCGGCAAAAAAGGAGCCTGAGTTCTTCCCTCTCCACTCAAGAAGACATCAGACATTCTCAATGTGACCAAAGGGGCCTCAGACTTTCCTATGGCCACCCTGTCCAAGGCAGCTTTAGAATCTTTCAATCTGAAAGAGAGAGCCTCAAGAATAGCCCATCTAAATCACTGAGCCTCACATTTGCTCCTCGTGACCAAAGGGAATTCAGAAATGTGCCCTCTAATGTAGAGTGGGTTAGAACTTCAACTTCTGCTCCAAGAAGCCTCCAACATAAACCTTCTGCCCATGGAGGCTTCAAACCTTACATGCCTGTCAAACCGAAGTTCTAAAGATGCTCATCTCAAGAGGGGATCCTGGGTCCTACTCTCTCTTATCATGCCATCTTTAGATCTTCTTATTCACAGCCCCATATTTTCCTACTTTGTGCCCCACATGAACAACAGAAGTTTATAACTTTCCCTTCTCATCAAACACCTGTTAAACATTTGATTTCCATTCCTGGCTATCTCAGATGCACATTGAGGCATCAGATTGGTCCATCTGACTATAAAGAAGGCAGGCATTTTCCATCTGTTTATTAATAGGTCACACTTTCTACATAGAACATGATATACAATCTATTACCCACGGAGAATAGCATGTGCTTCTTCTGACTAATGTGGCCCTAGACTTACTTCATATCACTCCCTCTGTCTAGCAGGTTCTGGGTATTTCTTATTCTAATCATCTGACTTCAAAGCCTCTGCCCAAAAATAAAACTACCCTGGTGCCTGAAGTTCTAGAATGTTAGATCACCCAGCAATGCCCTAAACCCAGTATATGTGCCTTAACTTGATCATCAGAAATAAAGAAATCACACCCTTCATGTTCAGATGTAGATAGCTGAATTGGTACAGAGACCTAGCTGAGACTTGCCTCCTAGCAGGTTGGAGACTGATCACAGTGTTGCCTGCCCTGCACGACATGGATATTCTATGTTCCCATGAAGATTTGATCAGGAAATGTTCAGACTTCTCTAATTCCCAAATTAACTGTTGATATCCCATGCTTCCCACAAGAGTCTTTGACCTTTCTGTATTTCTCAAAATAGCATAAGACTTTCTGTCTCTGAAGACAGAAAATTTTGTACTCACAATTCCCTGTTTGTCTGTGGATGCTTCATTCTCATTCTGTACAGGGGTTCTCCATTGTTTTTCTGACAAAGGGGCCCCAGACTTATTCTTTCAGGCCCAGGAGGACTCATCCTTTTTCCCAGCGACTGAAGTGGAGCTCAGATTGTTTTCAAGGGCTTACCGGGTGCTCAGGCAATCTCTTCTGAACCAGATGCAGAATGCACTCCACTAATTCTGAAGCAGGCTATAGCCCTATCAATACAGAACCAGAGCTATTCCAAATGGATGTATGGATGAAGGGAGCTTCTGACCTCTCCTTCACTACTGGGGGGTCTCATATCTTTCCCAATGGCCAAGGTGGCCTCAATCTTTTCTGTCTAGAACAAAAGTAACTCACAACTTTTACCAGTAAACTAAAACCCGTCAACAAAAAAAGCTTCAGTCATTACCTGGTGTTCAAGGGAATATTGACACACCATTCCATTGAGAACCAGGAGACCCCAGACATTCACTAATTGCCCAAATGGACCTCATACTTACAACTTCAGAACAAGGGTGCCATGCACATCCTCAATGCTGAAGGAAGCCTGAGACATAACTTGAGAAGTAAAGAGGCCTCAGACTTCCACAATGCCCCAAGAAGGCCACAAATACAAACCCTTTAGAATTAATGAGCCATAGAATTTCTGTTAAGTTACACTGGGGATTCAGATTTATTCCAGAATCAGGACAGTTCAGGCCTCCAGCTATCAACTCCATCATGTCTTAGATATTCCCTTCAAAATTAAATTAATTCACTACTTGAGGAAGCTTACACCTTGATGCACTGTCTTATGAAGAGGGATTTTAAAGTTATTTCCTTCAACCACAGTAGCCCCTGACTTTCATACTTTGCCAAAGGGGGGTTTCTGTAACATGCTGCTTTCTTTGTCTTTACTGGGGGAATCTGAGACATGTCTGTTTGATGAAGTAAGCTACAGAACTGGCCCGGTGACTGAAAAATGTCTCAAATATTCAGACCTGGTTTACAGGTACTTGAGATTGACTCCCTATTACTAGGTAAACATCACAGCTTCTCTTTGTGTTCATGGCCGACTCAGGTCTACCAAATAACTAATCGAGACTAGAGCTTCTCCCTCAGAACTGAATGGCTAGGAAATATGCTTCTGACCACCAAAGGAACCTCATGGAACTGTAGATTGAAGTTGCATGTCAGAATAAAAGTACCCTGGGATCTAAGATCATCTGTTTTCAAGCTGCACACCAGATATATGCCTGTCCTCCATGTCTACACCTGTGCAGCTTATCAAGAGTTTAAGTAAGGAACAGACCTAGGGACTATAATTCAGCTTGTAAGAAGAACCCTCTGATTGCCGTTAAGCCTCAAAAGGAGTCCTCAGAGATAAGAATTTTCTAGAGTTCACTGAAGAGTTGGAGAAGGACTAGGGAGTGCCTGGATCTTCTCCTCTACAAAAGGTAAGCAGTGGCATTCCCATTTGCCCAACAAGGTCTGGGATCTGTCTCCTTTCCAAAACCTTATTATTATTATTTTTTGCTCTGAAATCTTGGGCCTAAAAATACCCCTTGCCCAAATGGCCTTCAGAAATTTCCCTCTGATGAAGGGCACATGGAATATTTCACCATTGAACAAAGAGCATTGGTCACTGTGGTTAGTTCACAGAAGTCAAGAAGAGTAGACAAATCCAGGAACCCATGCCACTTCCTTAAATAAAGTAGCCATGGTGTAGACTTCTCCTTTTTGCCTGCACAGAATTCTTAGGCATCAACCACACTGTGCCTTCCACCAAGTATCTTAATGAATCCTGATATTTATGCTTGGTCTTTTGCAGATTAAGCTAAAGATATGGGCATCCTAAACTATGAAGAAGAGTTAGATGGTGAGGCAATTCTAGGAGCTTATGAGGTATCAAAGTCAATTGAATTTTTGATCACGGTTATATGGGATTTTCACATTCTGATCATATCTCCCCTGCCTTATGGGTCTCAGAAACTCCTTTCTTTACAGGGCTACTCACTCTTCCCTTTGGTCAAGGAGATATCTGATCTTCATCCTGGAATAAAGGGAGTCCTACATCTTTCCGGTCTGTTCAAAGGAGGTTTAGATGTTCCTTTCGTGTGAAGGGCCCATATAATTCCTGATATTATGGAATGGACCTCAGACATTATTCTTAATAAATGGGTCCGAGATTTGCACTTCAGTAAACTGTAGACACAATATTGATCCAATGAGAGCCTCTGACAATAAATACCCTGTGAAGGATGGTGGTTATATTCTACTTTTCTTGAAAAAGGGGACTTTAGACACACCATTTACCTTCATGGGTACTGTTAGAAACTCATCTGATTAAGGGGATACAGACCAGACCAGTGACATGAAGACTCACTCAGATGTTCATCTTTTTGTCATGTAAACTCCAAATAAGCACTCCCTGACCTTGGCTTCCTCAGAAAAACCACTTTTATCTACAGAAACCTCAGCTCTCTTTCTCTCACTGAGAAGATGTTAATCTTTTCCCTTCTAACCTGGGTGTTCAGGCATGCCCAAATGACCAAAGGGATGTCATAATACTCTGAACTGATATCCTGGGACAAAACAGTAAAAAACTTTTCCCTGATTAAACCCTTTTACTTTTAAGATTCTTACCAGAAATGGAGTGGTCTCATCTTGTCTCATACACCTGTGCTACTGATGAAAGGCTTGTGGAGGACACAGAGCTAGGAGCTGCCAACCAATCTGTAAGAGAAAAACTCTGCTTCCCATGTGGATCTCCCGAGGAAACTGGGAGCATGGGGACATTGGGAGAGAGTTGAAGAAGAGGGGAGATGCAGAGAGGGGAGCAAAGTAAAATGTAGAGCTCAATAAAAATCAATTAAAAAAACTCTGATTGCTTGAAACCAAGCTTCAGAGCCCCAAAACACATGGGTATTCCATAGTGTGGGGACATTTGGACCTGATAAGATATTGGTTGATCCTTCTAGTTTTCAAAGTAACCTGGGGAATTCATCTTCTCTCTGATGTTTTCTGGAACTTAGGGCTCTTACCTACCTTCCCAAAACACTCTCCCTTTCAAACATGGGGCCTGAAACCTTCCATGAATGACTTAATAGGTCTTCTATCAAGCTATTCAGGAATAGGTCTATGGGAGACTCTCTCTATAAACAAGGGACAATAGTCCACTCTGGTTTGAGTTCCCATAGGCAGGTTTGGCAATCAGAGCATAGAACCCCATGCCTTCTGCCTTCAGATCAGTCAATATAAAAGGAATGACTTCAACATCTCTTCCGAGATCAGGACTGCTGAACACAAACTACAGGAAGTAACCTAGCCAGGAACAATCATCCAGGTCTTTGGAAGAAGACATAGATTGTTACTGCCTTGTCTCTCTCAGAAGGAACACAAACTATGAATAAGAGTTGGAAGCTCATGATCAGTGCTGGGAACTTTCTCCACTATATGAGGTGCCCAAGATTATTCCCCTTCAACAGAAATGTGTATGACACTTTCACACTCTGCCCAAAGGCGATTCTGTCCTCATTTTTCAGTGGGGTCTCAGAGGTTTCCTCTCTTACATTGGGCTCAGAATTTTTACTTTTCTTCTTCTTCTTCTTCTTCTTCTTCTTCTTCTTCTTCTTCTTCTTCTTCTTCTTCTTCTTCTTCTTCTTCTTCTTCTTCTTCTTCACATATTCCTTCTCAATACATGGAACAGGATGTCAGAATTCTCCTAAGATGTAGATTTTCCTAAACCCCATTTTCCAATGAGCCCTACCCTAAAATATTTGTTTGGTGTTATATGGTCCTTATATATTCCCATTCCTCCCAAGTGACTCTGTCTTTTATCTTCTCATTACAGGGGTGTCAGACCAAGAGTGGATTATACCACCAAGTAAAACAAGTATCAGACATTCATGATCTTCCCTGAAGGTTTGTGAGCCAATTATCTACTTCCATCTAGGAAGAGGATTTCAGAAGTTCAGTTTCCACAAAAGGAAATCTGAAAAATCAAACCCTATTGAATGGTCTCTCGAAACTGGCCCCTGTATACAAGGGATGTCTCAGACCTCCATCCTCTGATCTTTAGCACTTTAGTCCACTCTAAGACTAAAGAACCATCAAGCTTACCTTCTTTAGTTGGTGACCTCGCATGTTCCCCTAGTAACTAAGATTGCTTTGGAGCTGGCCCGTCTGACCAAGACAACCATACAAACACATATGAGAACAATGGGATCTCACAACTTTCTGCTTTAAGATTACAGGACAGAAGCTCTCAAGACATCTGTCTCCAAGTTTGGTTATCAAAAACGCACTGTTTCTTTCATTCACAGATATGTACAGCTGAACACAACCTTGAGGAAACATCAATGCTTGAATAACCACTTAGCCTGTTGGAAGATTGTTAGGAGATTTGCCTTAGACTCTCAAAGATTTCACACAAGGTATGCGTTTGCATTGAAAAAAAATAGCTGATGTTAGTGTAGAGCCAGGACATTTCCCCATTATCCAAGATGCCTTGGGACCTTCCTGTTCTGATCATGATTGAAGCGCACAGTAGTGTTCTACAAAATGTGACTGGAGCCCTCCTCGCTGTGAATAAAGACATTTGGGATTTCTCATTTGCTGAAGGTAGTCTCAGAACTTCCCTTTCTGAGAAGAGGTTGTCAGAACTTCCCTGTTTACAAGAGACCTCATGTATACTTTGTTTATTGAAGTTTTCATGAAAACCACCCTGGGTCAGACTGGGCCATCATCCTTCCCTCCATTAAAAAATATGTACTTACACCTTATCCACCTGTACAAGGGAGAGTAGGAAGCACTGTCTTTGACTCCAGGAAACTCATGCATTTCTTTTATTCACAAGGTGACATTAGAGATGTTATTTTGAATAATACTGCATCATCCTCAAACATTCCATTCTGTCGTTGAAGTACCTCCAAAATATGCTACTCTAAACAAAAATGATTTAAACCTTTTATATTTGGTGCTGGTGGCTAGGGAACTGCCTTGCTCCACTCTGGGTTGTGGGCCCCTGTCATAACTTTAGAATTAGAAACTGAATTCTAAGCTGTTTTTCAATCCAATCACTAGAAATCAACTGACCCCATCACTGCTGCCCAGACATGGACTATGAAAACAACCTAAAAAAAAGAGGAGACCTAGCTGTTGACAGCCATCCAGGTACATTGAAAAAGGCTCTCATTGCTGCCTGAACTCTCTAAGACTCAACACAAGATGAGGAAGCTCTAAAGAAGAGTTGGAAGCTGAAGTGCAGTAATGGGACCTTCCTTCACTGAATAAGGTAGTAAGGGCATTCACCTTCAACAGGATGGTGTATGACATTTCTCCTCTCTGTGCAAGGGTTTTCCAATTCATACCTTTGCCCTAAACAGGTCACAAAGGGCCAGTGCTTCCACTCTCCTCAAGTTATTTTATTCCTTTTGCTACAATGATGAAAATGGTAGACCTCCCTCCTAGCCTACTGAAGACCTTCCCCATTTTCCTAAGGCGGTCTCAAGTATTCATTTTGTGGCAAAGACCCTCAAACTTTACCTTTGAATAAAGAGGCCCCATATTAAATATCTCTTACACCACTCACACTGTAACAGTGAGAGTCAGATTTGACCACATTCAGTCCAGTGTAGTGAAAGGGGGAGCTATGATTACAAACTTAAATCACAAAAATTACAAAGATCCCATTTTTTGTCAAGAGGTGTCTGGGCTATTCCACACTGATGAATAAGAGCTCAGAATTGCAACCAAAGGGTTGCAAATCATTCACTCTGTATTTGATTGAGCTACAGGTCCAGCCACTGAAGCTGGGAGGCCCTAGAGCATCCCCTTCCTTTCATGGACACATTTCACTTGACCCTTGGACTCCTATTACCTTAGTGCCAATCCCAGGGGCTAAGATTGCTAATAAAACACTTTTGTAACCATGGGACCTCACAAGATTCTAGGTAGAGGGGAAAATGTAAAAAGCTTAAACTAATAATCATGCCATATGCCTAGAATGTAGCTGTCAGAAATGCAAAATGTTCTCATCTTTTATGTAAACGAAGACTGTACTTATGTTTCCCAACTGCCCAAACACAAATAATTACACAGAAAATATATTAATTACAATTCTACGTAGACTATTAGCTCAGGATTCTTATTAACTAACTTTTACACCTTAAATTAACCCATTTTTATCAATCTATGTATCACCATATGGCTGTGTAATACTGGAAAAGTTCTGGTATAGTTCTACTTCAGTAGCTACATGTCCTCTCCTGGACTCCACCTAATTTCTTTTTATATCTCTTCCAGTCTGGCTATATTCTGCCCTCCCATAGGTCAAAGCAGATTTATTCATTAACCAAAAAAAAAAAAGAAAAGCATATACAGAAGGACATTCCACATCACTTACATTGATGGATAAACACAGATCAATACAACCCCGAGGAAGCATCAAAGTTTACACAACCACTCATCATGTTGAAAGAG